AGTAACAAGCATGTGTGGTGGAAACTGCGCAAGAAAAACACGGGGTCATACCGGCAAGCCTGGTGTATGACGTCATTAGTTAGAAATTATCATCGCCAAACTTTTCACGGATAAACTGATGTTAGTTCGAGAAACTGTATCGATAAAAAATTTATTTATTTATTTTTTTTTTTTGATGGTGGTATTTCATAATTTTAATCACTTCTCAGAATTGGAACTTCCATGCTTAACAAATCCTGGACGAAGGGGAAAAGTCGCGCAGAATGAAAGATGTTGGCTTGTGACTTTGCCTACAGGAGTTTTCATCCGATCGTTACGTGGCGACGTTTATGACGCGCGTGGAACTGCTTATGACATATCGAGATGTCAGTTTCTATTTTAGAATTCCTGCTTCTTTAAATTGTTCAGCAAAATTTTCACACAGCTTCAATCTAGAGAGGTTTTCCTTATTTCAGATAAAGTTAGAAAAGAACAAAATTCATTCGCTCCTGACGAGGTGATCGATTTATGCGACTCAGACTGACGCCTCATGCGTAGAGTTGTTGACTCAAGAGTTTATGGAGCGTTTTTCTCCGTCATGGTTTCTTCAGCGTTGCCCTTGCTGGAAGCAGATACCCATAGTTTTTCTCAATGAACATTTTTTTAACGGGAAGTACTAATTTTTTGTTTCTTCTTATTTTCCGTTCTCCATATGATTTGTACTACAATACTGATGTTTGTAACAAAATTCATCTCTCTGTAATTCTTGTAGTTTTTATGTGGCCAGCCGTTTCATATTGCATTTATGGGCAAAAGTTAGTTCATATATTGGAGTTATTGTCGTATTTTTATCTGTGCAAACATTTCAAGGGTCTCGGATAGCTTTTGGTAAGAGTCTTCTAACCTCAGGCCTTGAAAGACGTCCTTCATGCATTTCTTCCAATGAAAAAGTGACTTTTTCTTTGTTTGTCCTTTAGGTTTCGTCATCGTTTTCATAAGCTGCTGTGTCACTTTCATCAAAATTTATCCTTGAGACGAAACAGGGCTTAATATCTCGAAGTAATCCATGACGTTGCAGAAAATCTTGTGAGCACGATTTTTCCAGACTCGATTACTTTCCACTACTTCATTTCTGTTTGATGGGTTGTCATACACTCCTCTCAGAACAGGTGTCTTACTAGGATATGCATCTCACTTCAAGTTTCGCCTCTAAGAAGTCTGCACACAAACTTTTCAACTGCGAAACAATCTGTTCCAGTTTCAAGAATGAATTCGCTTCACAGTCTTCTGATATTTAACCGATGCTGGTTTGACTGCTGCCCTATCTTCAGCTTGACTTTTGCGACTCTTCTGTACAACTGCTAAATGAATCTGAATCAGTCACGAAAAGGTTTTCTAGCCCATAGACTTCCCATGTATTTTTGCGTAATTAATATTGCTAACACTTTTCGTCTCTGCTGATAATTCAGCTGCAGGTCCGCACGAGTCAGGGGACAAATAAATATCAGTAGACTTCTGTTCCGACTTTTGCTGTTATTTTTTTCTACATCGGAGAGAATGCCGCACATACATCGAACAGGCATTGAGTAATTGCTGAAGGTATGCAGTTCAGGATGCATGAGACTAGCGTAGTTGTGCTTGGCTTTTGCGATCATCTCAGTAACATCACTAACATAAAATACCCCTATTGTCTTGGTATTTCACATCGAGTCCTTGAGTTATTATGCATTTTTGCTGTGCAGCGCTGTAGCGCTTCTGCAGTGAGCAAAAACGCATATCATCAAGAGGTCGCACGTGTGTGTTTTCGTAAGCGGGTGAACTTTGTCATTCACTTTAAACTCAGCAACCGGGTAAGTTGGTAGGCTGAAATTTTTGGGTCATATTCTCACCCCATGTGTCACTCTTTCGTTTTAAAATTCTCACTTATACAAGAATAAATCTCACTTACGGACTTCTGGAAAAAATGTGCAAATTTCATTGGTGAGAAACGATTTCGTGAACCAGACAAGATGGAAAGCTGAAATTTTGCAGGGGTACTGTCTGTGCATATAAGCTGGGAATTCCAAATTTAGCTATTGCACACACTTATATCGCGCGTGCGTTTACTTCAAAGTTTGCAGCTGGCACTGCGCTAACTCGAAAACTAGCCGGAAAACAGTAGGCTAAATTTTTTCAGGATATTTGTTGTTCATATGGTAAATCGTGTACCTAAATTCAGCTTAATTCAGTTTGAAGGTGAAATTTACTGCACGCAGACATGACAAATATTAAATTTTATCGCACACTCAAAAGCGAGTGCGTTTTGCGGGCTTCATGACTTTCTCTCGATTTTCTTCAAATTCGCATTCTTCCAATGAACGAACATCCACCGAAAAAACGACAGGCCTTCACGCAATCATGCCCTCTGAAGGTCCACTTGGCGCCACAAGGCAGCACCTTCATCACAGCCGACGCTCTTTCCCTCTGCATGTGAAAAAAGGCCATTATGATGCCAGGCGTTAAACTACAACGCAAGAACCATTCCCGCTGTTAACGATCTGCAAGTTTAGCGCAAAAACGCATAGTCGTACCGGCTAGCCTGGTGCGTTGCAGCCTGAGTTTTTATGTCAAGTGTTATTTTTTTCATTAAGATCTCTTCTTGCAGCGATCCAAACCAGTGAGGTTCCTAGTAACTTGGCGGTTGAGCTAGCCGTTCTGTAGCCGTTCGGTTAAGCTAGCTAGCCATAAACCCAAGTTTGACCCTCAAACTTTGGGTGTTATAGTTTGTAGTCGGTACTTGTCTTCGTTCTGCCGCTCAATTTTTCTGGCTTTCATTTTGGCACTGCTTTTCAGCGTTCACCCAAAGGACACTTTTTTATTCTTGTTTTTCGACACATGAGGGAAAAGGATGTTTATTATTGTGCACCGATTCCCTCCTCTGACAAAAATGACTGAGACTGTTTCCAAAAGTCTCATCTCGAAACATACCACTGCATTCCTTGGAAACACTAAAGTTGCGTACAGGCCAGGGTGGTGGTCAGAGGTGTATACAGTTTGAAGATTGAAAAGTGCTGACTTCTAGTAAACTTTTGCTGTTTTCGCCCGTGTTTGTTTTTCCCCTTACGTAACGCGAGCGCCTTCTAAACTTTTCTTGTACGTTTGTTACGCTGTTAAGTACAATTTTATGTGCAAGTTTTTTTATGCTCGATTTTTTGTACATATTTTCATTAGCTGTAAACGCAGTCCCCACACTCTTGATACTGACAAGTGCACTGATCTAGCCCTAATCGATAGATTTTCCAAATTCATGCTCTAATCTATTCCATTTCTTTTGCATACCTTATATATTTTGGTGTCTTTTTGGAAAAACGCGCTTTCTGCTGCTCAGAACGCATTGTAAATCATGGCTCGTGCTGCGCGGTATGAGAAGGCAAAGTGATTTCTCTCAGGAACTATATGGAACTGATTTATTTCTAGACTCACAAAACTCAAACAAACATAGAATTTCAAAAACAGGTTGTTTGACACATGGATATGCACACGTTGGAGTACTTGAGCTAGAAATTGCTGGGAATTCTTGGGCAAGAAATGCCGGCGAGGTATATTGGAAATTCTGTGGGATAATGGGAAAGAAGGACGATTCGTGATGATTGAGGGTCAGAGTGGGACTATAACTGCTGCAGAAACATGCACAGACAAGCACAGACCGATTTGGATAGAATAATCCTCTAACTGTAGATGAAGAAAAATGCAACTTCAAGAGTATTTTTGTCGATTGAATCATTTGTGTTCAAGTGAATAAATTAAATGTAAGCGCCGTAACTGGCTTGATGTGTATTTGCCAATTTATTCAACCGTAACTGACTTTGCCAGGTTACGTGGTCGGTCCACCTGAAGCATAGTTAGTGGGTTCAGAAAATAAAAAACACGGCATGTTGCTATTAAGTGGATTCTTCGAGGGAAGATGAAGGTGTGTTCGCCGGGCAGCATGACATTGGAAACAGCTTTGAGAAATCCTGCAGAAACATCTAAATGCCGTGGCATTAGGCCAAGTATAAGAATAACCGGGGCGAGTCGCACTTCGTGGAATTGGGCGTTTTTTGGAAAACAGTGGAATCCCTTGACGCTGATCGAAATTCGAGTCAGTAATGACGCAAGAATGTGATCTTATTGGGACATCAGTCACAGGTACGGACCAGGGCGTTTCTAATCCTCAAACTTATTCGTTTTTGCTAAAAATGAACTTCCGACTTGGACCAACTGCCGACAGTTTCAAATTAGATGCAGAAAACTAACATTGAGTCCATTCAATTCAGCAACATGATAACTGAGCAGTTGCAGAGGGATGACAGTGAGGATATTCTGAATACAGTCCACAGTTTTTGGAACACGAAGCACCGAGTTCCTGCCGTGTAGGTCGCATGCTGGTACTTCAACATCCGCAATGATTATTGGATCGCCTTCACGAGCCAGCACTTGTTGCAGAGCATTTATGGATTTCTTAATGATTTGAAATAAGAGAAATTTGATAACACGAAAGGAAAGCAGGGACATTTGCACGGCGGGATCAGTGAAATTACCTTGTAGACATTATCGCTGCAGATGACCATAACAATGCTGCGATCTTTGTCCACCATCGCAAGTGGGCCGTGCTTCAGTTCACCACTCATTATGCCTTCGCAGTGCATATACGACAGTTCCTAAAATTTCCATAATCCACAGTTTCGTTCCAAAAGCGAAAGACTATCCCAGCATTTGCTTGAAATCCTTTAAAATGCACTCACTTTAATTTTCAGTGCGCCTTCCAAACAGGTTGCGAAGTTATAACCACGGCCCATAATCAGGAGTGAACGCTCCTTATAGATTTTCTTCGCGATTTCAAGTACCTCGCCATCTAACTTCAGTACTTCTCGGATCAGATCTGCATCATATCACTGATTACTTCGCCCTTTCGTCATCAGCTTAAGAACTCAGGCAAGACAAACTGTTGTGCGTCTGTTTCGCTCGAATCAATGCTGTTTGAAAATCTGGGGATTGTACCTGGAAGCTGTCGCAACCCGTTAATAATATCCTGACGGCGATTTCTCATTGAAATTCGATCATCACTCATTGTCAGTGCGAACATTACTAGTGATAGTATTTGCGACGTGTAAGCCTGTAACCGTAAAAATTTCAAAAGAATCCAGACTGTACCGGAGTAGAATCCTTCATACCTTCGTTGAAGCAACACCAATTTCTGGACCAGCATTGATGTGTACACCGCAGTGTGTCTCACGGCATATGCTACTTCCCACTGTATTTGTAATGCCGATTGTCAGTGCACCACGCGGCTTACAGTATCTGTAGACAGTTTACATAAGAAAAATTACCACGGTACCGCAGACTTAGTTATTTCCTGAGATATGAGCGTACTGAAACTTCAATTTTGGAGTTCTTCGCTAGCAGTAAAGTGATATACTGGAAAGCTTACCTCAGTGCATTAAGAGTATCCGCAGTCTCACCACTCTGAGATATAAAGAAGCAAACATCGTCGCGAAATATCGGTGTTTCACGATCCAAAAAATCGCTGGCTAATTCCAGTATGACAGGTAGCTCCGTTAGTTCTTCCATAATTTGTCGGCACTTCAAATGCCAAAATAAATCATTGACGAGGAGCACCAGGCAAGCCAGTACGACCATGTGTTTTTGCATTATTTCATGCTGTCAGATCCCATTAGCTAAAGCTTCTGGCATACTGGTTTTCGATAGGTGGTTGACTGCGCAACTGTGTGGTGTGTCAGTTGTCGATGTCGGCTTCAGTGACCTGACAGACTGAAAGCTGCTGATGCTCCGCGAGCAACATCAATCACTTCTTGTAAGCATCACATTTGTTGCTGTGAAAACGAGCGTGGTTAGTACTGTGCTATCAGTGATAATGCAAATTTATGCAATCGTGAAAAGCATAGCCAATATGCATGTAAAATGAAGTGCAGAAGCCCGAAGTGAAATTTTTCCAACTAGCTGAATTTGGTAACTGAAATTTGTCCCGCGTATCTGCTAGGAAATAGTGTGAATGAGGACTGATTTTACATACGTGAAGTCAGACTGGAACGACTCACCATAACGTAACAAATGGCCAGTGTACCAACTGCCGGTGCGAGGATGCGTTTTTTGCATAGTTCGTCGCAAATTTTTGTCGCTAACGTCGCTGTTTTTTTCCCGCAGATGCTTCTAGCTAAAAGAATTGTAACTAGCCATCAGGACTGTCAGGAATCGTCCTTTTAAAATTTCAGCTTTCTAGCTTTCCTGGTTTCCGAGTTAGCAACTTACCCGCAAAAAGATTTCACAGGCCCGTACATAGAAATCACGCATACCCGGGGATTGGGCGTGAACTCATTAAGACCTATGTGGGCGTGGAACATCCCCTTAAAACTCCAGTCTTCTAGCGTTTCAAGTTCCCGAGTTAGCAACTTGCCTAAAAAAATTTTGGCGAACCCATACGTGAGTGCGACGCATATCCGAGGGGTGAGTTTGAACTCATTAACACCTGGTTGGACGGGGAACATCCCCTTAAAATTCCAGTCTTCTAGCTTTTCAGTTTCTCCAGTTAACAGCTTACCCGAAAGGAAGTTTGGCGGTCGCGGACGTAGGTACCATGAGGGTAAGAGCGCCCATTTTGGAGATGGGACCCTACATGCGTGTAGATTAGGTCCCCAAAGTTTCAGCCCCGTAGTTTCTGTAGGTCTCGAGATGAAAAATCGATGCAGCCGCACAGCGCACACATGCACACACATACACACATGCACACACATACACACATGCACACACATACACACACGCACGCACATACACACACGCACACACACACACGCACACATACACACACAGACAACCTCTCGTCAGTATTCGCTTTCTGCACTGCATAGATACAAATAAATGGCCAACGCACGGGCTGCCCGTGCGAAGATGCGCTTTTTGCAGAGTTCCCCGCAGTTT